TCCAAGTTAGTCAGTCTGTCACATACCCTGATGTTGGTAGATATTGAAAACTACCTTCTGCCTTTTAATACCATTTTTTTTTTCTGTCATCAGCCTTGAAATTTGTGGCTTTCCCCCTTTCCAAATGCAAACTCATTATGTTAATCTCAAAGAGAGCTTGCTTTCAAATACAGACATTGGTATTTGTTTAACTGACAGTGTATTTTAAACGTTTATATAAATATATTCTGAAATTTATAATTTGTGATACTTGATACTTCCTAGAATGATATGTGGAGGCTTTGAGACTGCATTTTTCTATAATATTAGTCACTATCAGGAAAATATTTTTTTTCCTCAAGATGACTGATGGCAGGATTTTGATTGTACTGAAATTATAGGAAAAACACAGTGGGAAATGATGGGTGTGAGAACATTACCTTGATAAATGAGAAGCAATTTAGGTTTAAGTGGTCAGAGAAGAAAGGTGATAATGGAGAAAAAAGGGGGAAAATCCTGTGACAATGAGGTGAAAGCTTTAGTACCTTTTTGGAGTTGTTATCAGTAAGGACGGTTCATCACTGAATTTGACAACCTGAGGGAGTATCTTGAAAAATGAAATTGGACAAGATTACAGATGATGTTACAAAATATATTTGTGAAACTTGCCTCACAGAGTTACCTTCCTTTCTTACAATATGATATTCATTAGGCCCTTAGTTCATTTCACCCATAAGTATTTCCCCGAGCACAGGTACGGCCATCATATCCAAATACTGTGTTGTGGTTGGAAATACTGATCCTGAGGATGAGTCTGCCTCAGAAGAGTCATGTAGGAGCAAGTGTCCTTTTCGAAATGAGCAACAGCTGAAAGCTAGCTATTTAAAGCCTTATTTGTTTAAGGCTGATGGGCTAGTTGAATTATTAAAAGGAGGAAGATTGTATAATTATTGGAATTAACAATACTAGACTCTGGTAATTCTATGCAGTGATTGTTTTTTCAAAGCTATATGCTATGATTTTATTGTTACTATGATTTTTGTAATTACTTCCTCACCTTCAAGCTAATTTATAAAGTTCAGATAAAATAAGTTTGTAGATATTTTACTATAAGGTTTTGAGTCTAAAGTTGTCAGATATAGGTAGGGCAAAAGAGAAGGCATCCCCACAGTAGTTAGCTTAGTCTTCAGTGGCCTTGGAATATACATTGATGCTGTTGACTCGATTTCAGAGGGGAGCACACTTGTGTACTGATGTTGGTTACAGCCACACCAAGTAATTCTCAATTCATATGGCCCTCTTTTGACCAACTATTCATAAAAGTTTATCATGGAATTAAGAATATCATATATCATTTTATTTGAGTGAAATAGTAAATAATCTAGATTTGCTTTTGCTTCTAATACGCAAAAACAAGAGTGAATCTCTTTTTAAAGATGCTGTCTTGCAGCATTTTTGAGTATTTTTCACAGGTTCACGGTTTGCCCAGGGCCACCAGTGCCTGCAATAGGTTCTGAATAAATATTTGATGAATAAATGAATGATTACAAGTTCTTGACAGAACACATACAAAATATTTTTCTTTTGTTTTTCTCTTCAAGTTGTGTAGATTCTTAACCAAAAACCAAAACTGAAGATACAGTGTTACTAAAATAAACAATAAAGATAGAGGGAACTTTTGTTCTTTGAGTATTCAGCCTGAATGGTCATTGCTATAGGGGGATATAATTCTCTTCATTTTCGTTTCTTACGGAGGGATGAAGAAGAGTCATCCTTAATTTAATAGTCATGGTTACGAGTATGTAAAATGTTCATGTATTAATAAGGTTTTAGATTATGAGATAGGATGGGTTACTTGCATAGTGCATTTTTTATATATATATATGTTTTCCCTGTCTTCCACAATTCTTCTATTCTTATACGGAGTTAGAAAGACAGAAGACTAAATCGACACTCAAATTTAATTAATTAGAAATGTCATGTAATTATATTCATGTCCTTTGACCCTGTAATTCCACTTTCTGCTATTCATTATAGGGAAATAATCCTAAAGAGATAAAACTTTAAATGCCCAATTATATCCTTTGTAGTATTATTTATAAAAATGAAAATCTTAAGATTATATTAATTAGTTAATGAGCAGTATTACAATAAGTCTGATTATTGGAGGGGGGTGTCTCATCCTTTTTTTCTTTAAACCAACTGTTTCTTGCATGGATCTTGAAATTGCCAACACTAATAGTTGGTCTTCTCTGAATTAGTGGGAGGATAGAAATATCTGGCATCAGCCTGAAGTTTGGGGCTAGTGCTGGTCTCAGACTAAAAGGAAGATAACGTCAAAATTTAGAAAAGCTGCTAGGTAGCAGCACACACTGTTCTCATTCAAAGAATAGCTAAATACACACACACACACACACACACACACACACACACATATACACACATATATGCTTCTGAGGAACCTAAGTGAATGATGTTCAATAATTTATTGAGCTCCTGCTATGTATCAGGCCTTGATGTAGGAGCTGGAAATATATCAATGGAAAAAAAAAATTCCTGCTCCTGTGGGGTTTGGAAAACAATGAATGTTGGTTGCCTGCTCTTGAATCTCCTGTAGCTGGTGCTATGAACCATCAGCTTTGGGGGTACTATGAACTCAAAACTCCCCCCAAAGCCATAAATCCAACAGGGAGAGGAAATAAAACCATACATGAACCAGACCTTCACCAGCACTAGGGAACATCAGTAAGCTTGTGGTTGCAGAGACTGGCGCAGGGGAAGCTTAAGAGAAACTTAGGGTCTAAATAAGAATAGATGAGCACAGAGTATATAGACAAAGCACAGACAAAATCATTCCAGAAAGAGAAAACTGGGATTTAGTGTGGCTCGTAACACCAGCTATGGGAAAGGGGGTTGAAAATGAATGGGACCAGAACTGACAACCATAGGAAAGCATTGCTTTTGGGAAGATTCAGATATATAAAGAAATGGTGGTACCCCTTGAAGATATGGCAGTCATAGGAAAGAAGGAAGTAAAAGGGGGAAACTTAAGTATCCTGTAGAGATTAAAAAGAAACAAGACACCCCAAATTCTCCCCACCAGCACCATCATAAAAACTGCATAGGAAAGGACAGAACTGACAGAAGGCAAGAACCACCCAGTCCATTAAATGAATAGAAATAGAACAAAACAGGCCACATCTATACAAAACTGCTGCAAAAAATCAGAAATGAATTTTTCTGATTCATTTCATATGAGTCAGTGCATTTTACCTGATAAAAACTCTTGTTCAAAAAATCCATAAAATTAAAGCTGTAATACAACAATGCATTTTATCCGATAAAAACCCTCGTTCAGAAAACTCCATAAAATTAAAGAAAGCTGTAATATAATACTGTAATCTGAATTGAATATTCTCATTTAGGTTTTTTTGGTATATGAAACAGAAAACACTTTGAACTGGAAATACAAAATCTAAGAACAATGGACCAAAAAGTGAAATGAAAGTTGATTGAACTTAGGGTAGGGATAGAAGAAAAAACAAAATCAATCAGAAATGAAAATTAAATTATAAGGTGCCCAAGGGAAACGGATTCAACTAACAGATGACCTGACATATCAATGTTTACATTAAATGTAAATGATCTAAACACAGGAATTAAAAGTCAGGGATTAGAAGAATGGGTTAAAAATAAATAAATAAATAAAAACCAAAACAAAGCACATGACCCCAACTATATGCTGTCTATAAGAAACTCACTTCAAATGTAATGATAATGGCATGTTAAAAGAAAAAGGATGGAAAAAGATATTCCATGCAAACATTAATCAAAAGAAAGTAGCAGTGGATATATTAATAGCAGATTTAGCAGACTTAAGAGCTAAGAAAATTACCAGGGACAAAGAATGATGTCATACATTGATAAAAGGGTCAATTCACAAAGAAGACATAGCAATCCTATATATGTATGCAGCAAATGACAGAGCTTCAAAATACATGAAGCAACAAATGGCAGAACTGAAAGGAGAAATCAAGAAATCCACAATAAAATTGGGGATGTCAACACCTCTCTCTCAGTAATGGATAGAACCACTATTCAGAAAATAATCAAGTATATAGAAGTACTGCTGCAGCTGCTTTTGAATGATCTTCAGCAAAATTTTACTTGCGTGTGATATTAATGATATTGTTAGATAATTTCCACATTCAGTTGGATCACCTTTCTTGGGAATAGGCATAAATATGAATGTCTTCCAGTTGGTTGGCCAGGTAGCTGTCTTCCAAATTT